GACGGTTGACGAACTCTCAGAGAGACGGGTCGGGGGCGAGCTCAAGGAGAGAATCAAGCAGCCTGCAGCCTCTGCTCTACACTGTAAATCCGGGTGTCCAGCAGGTAGGCGACAAAGTCGCCTGAACCGCAAAACTAGGCGACTTATGTCGACTATCTGCTGGACACCTTCTGTTCTTTCGGGTAAATTGCATGGGCAGTGGGTGGAATGCCTATGAACTCATACAATGTAATTACCCGGAAGAACAGAAGGTGTTCAGCAGTCGACACAAGTCGTCTGACCCGCTGGCGACTTTGTCGAAGTCGCCTATCTACCGGGCGGATTAACAGTGAAGCCTTCAGCCTTCAGCCTGCAGTCCGTCGACGAGCGCGCGAGGTTAGCGTCCGGTTGGATGAGGTCGAGGGCGTGTGCACTGGGTCCGGGTCCGTTGGACCGCGTTGGACGCACTGTGTACCCCGCGGTTGGACACCACCAGTCCACCGGTCAACCGCCCACCTGCTATGCCTTTGACGTCTCCTCGCGAGCGGAGTGGGGTTCTTAGAAAACCCGGTGAGTCACTCGCAGTCGCTGTAACTCCACTCGGCCAGATAAGGACGAGGACGACGTCCAGTATAGCACGAAAGCCCGGGGCACTCACCGAGAAGGTTCCTCTTGCCCACTTTGTTGACGATGAGGCCGCAGAGAAGCGGCATGGCGAGCGACACGGCGCCAATGATGAGGTTGTTCCGGAACATGGCCTCGTTGACGGGCGCGCAGAACGGGTGCGCGGGGTCGGGGGCCTGCCCGCTGCTTCCGATGGCGTCCTGGGCCGCGCAGATTGTGGCCGTCCGGCTCGGGTACTCCTTCTCGAACTGGGCGAGTTTGTTGAAGATGTCCGGCAGCCAGATCTGGAGGCCGTTGGCACTGCGGGAGGGAGTAGTAGGGGGAGGGCGGTGAGCTAAGCAGGTCACAGAGAGCGGGTCGGAGGTGGCGAGGGAGGTCGGGGGCATCATACCTAGCTAGATTGCCGAACTGGATGATACAGACGAGGGTCGAGTGCAACAGGAAGGGGGGCTTAAAGAGCGGCGCAGTCTGCGCCCAGATGAGTCTCAGAGTGCCCCCGACGCCGAGTGAAGAGGCAGTGGCTGTCGGTTTGCTGTCACCCAGCTCCACCGTCGACACGGTCGGTTTGGTGCCAGGTGCGCCGATCAGCCCGTCAACCTGCAGAACACAATGCAAAGAAGAGGGCGTCCTCGTAAAGTAAGGAGACCAAGCGACCTCTGGGAGGTGTAACCACCAAGCACTCACTTACTGGATAGAGGTCGCCGGACCCACCCTTGTTGAGGGCGTACATCCTCCGGAGCACAGCCAGGGCGCGCTCCGGCTCGCGGTTGGCCAGAAACTTGGGGCTCTCGGGCACGAGCAGCCACAGCATCAGCGCCGACATGAGGCTGAGCAGCGCGCAGAGCACCAGCAGCAGGCGCCAGGGGCCGAAACTCACGAAGCCCAGGTCCCAGCCCCAGCACTGCGGCAGCACGGCCCAAGCCACGCCGGGCAGCAGGATCAGCCCGACGGAGGGGAAGGCCCCGATCCAGATGATGGACCGGCTCCTCGTGGCGGGCGTGTGGAACTCACCGAGGTACGCGAAGGTGAGGGCGGCCGGGGCGCTCGTGCTGCACAGAGAGGGGTGTCTCAGTTAGCGGCCCTGCTCGCGCAGCTCGCGGCCTCGAGGCGGACAGGGTAGCCACTCACAAGAGCCCGCAGCAGAAGCGCAGCCCGAGCAGCACCTCGAAGTTGGGCGCGATGGAGGAGAGGAGCGAGGCCACCACGTCGAGGAGCGTCGCCCACAGCAGCGCCCGCTTGCGGCCCTGCGTGTCGGCGACCAGCCCCCACGTGTGCGAGGACAGCACGATGCCGGCGTAGCTCGCCGCGGCCAGCAGGCCCTTGTCCTGGTCGGACATGCCGAGCTCCAGGGTCGCGGACGGCAGCAGGTAGCCGACCACCACGGTCTCGAGAACGCCCGCCATCACGAGGCATCCGGAGACGAGCAGCAGCCTCACGTGGAAACATCCATGGCCTGTGCACCACGGACCAAGAAGTGTACATGTATTTCTCTAATCCCTAGCCCTGACCTGTCTTCGATGACCTACGCGTGCTCAATGTTCGAGACTCGCTTGTCACAGAGGCGTGGGAATCCATTCATTCATTCATTCATTCATTCATTCATTCATTCATTCATTCATTCATTCATTCATTCATTCATCCATCCATCCATCCATCCATCCATCCACCCATCCACCCACCCACCTATCCAAATCTTTCGGCACTAGCGTCGTTCCTTGTGACTTCACACACAATCAGTTTACTGACGCTTTCCGTGTACGTAACAGCCTTATCTTCTCCTCGGGCTTACGTACGCACTACACGTGTGTGCACATTCCCCCAAACTCCCGACTGCCGTGACGTGGCGCTTCCAAATCCTGGCATATCTCTAAAAATGTGCTCAAGTAGGGTCATCCGAAACTTGTCCTCAATTTTTTTTTCATCGGCAGCTGAACACTCGAGTAATTTTGCTCGGTCATCTAGAAAGTCATCGCATCCTGTTGGATTCTCCGACTACTCTGAGTACTTTTCCAGAGTACTTTTACCGACTGTCCGTGAGGCCTTACCGTGCTCTCCGCGAACCATTGCAGCTGCAGCTTCAGAGCGTCGCCATAGAGCAGTTAAAGTACAACAAAGGCGCATAGCGCGTTATTGCTCACCTGTCAGCCGCACGGCTTCCTCCAGGGAGACGATCCGCCCGCTCTTAAGACCTGCACATAGGGAGATCAAAATATCAACAACATAAAGCAAACAAAACGACATGTCATCAGTGAGACGCGACGCCCCAAGCGCCGACAGGTAAAATCGACGCGTACTTAAAGAAAAAAACGGCCAAACGTCAAGAGCTCGTCATCTTGACCTCTTCGTGACTAAATCATGTCAAAAACTAGACTATGCACGTTTCACGTCAGTAGGACCCGTAGGACCCGTGCGACTTATTTCTGGCGTTTTACTGTTTGTACGGCCAAGTTGTCTCTTTGAAGCCGTGAGATGATACATCGCACCGAACAGCAGAGCCTTGCGTTTGGGGTCCGGAGGCCGGCCGGCCAGAGGCCGGGCGGTTCGGCCACAGGCCGGCGAGAGGCCGGGCCGGTCTGTCGCAGGCCGGCGCGCAGGCGAGAGGTGAGGAGGCGGGCTCCTCTCTGCTCGCCCCTCCTCACCTCT